AGGGAGGAAGGCAGGGGGCAGGGCAGGGTGGGGCTGCTTGCAGCAAGATGCAGGGAGATGTTAGGCTCCCAGGCCGGCTGTGGCAGGCAGCCAGGAGACTGCACAGGTGTCTACGGAGCTTGTTGAGTGCATGCACCAAATGCCAGCAAGTCAGGCCAGGGCTCTGTGACCTAGGGTTGCCAACTGTTTGAATCTATTCCAGGAGGTTTTATCACATGATGTAATGATATTAATTACAGTGTGTAGACTTCATATCAGGAAGGCAAATGCACATGACTATTACATTTTAAAAACCCACTGGACTGCTGTATAAAACAGATTCAGCGTTTAATATTTATTTTAATGAATGCCCTATCATTTATCTCCTGAGTGACTCTCAGTAGTCTTCTGGAGATTTATATCTAATTCCTGGAGACTCCAGGGCAATCTTGGAGGGTTGGCAACCCTACGTGGACCCCAAATGCAGCTTCACCACTTGGGGATGGCCCAAAACACAGCTTAATTACCCTGATTAAGCCCAGGGAAGCCATTAATCCACGTATTATTAAGCATGGGTTAATGGCTTTCCCAGCCTTAATCAGGGTAATTAAGCTGCAGTTTCAAGCTGTCTGGCAATTGGTGGGGAGGAGTGGGACTGCTGGAGCCCCTCACCTGATCAGAGTCTTTGGGGTGCTGCACAGCACTCAGCCCACAAAAATGATGGCCAGTCCCAGCATCTGCCTGTGATTTTGGCTGGCTGCCTGCCTGAGTTCGGTAGACCCCTAGTGATATGATGTGGTTGCCTGTAGATAGCACAGTGCTAGACTCAGTGACCTGGAAGGTCCTTCATGTTCTGTATGTATTCCTATACCAACAGGCAGACCTATCCTTTTATATTCAGAGCGTGTCTAGTTGAAGACACTTGGGCAGGACAGAATATTGAAGCTTATTGGTTCTAGCTCTTGTCAAGGTGTTGTGGGGTTTTGTTTTGTTTTTCTTTTTTCTTTTTTTTGGTTTGGGGACTGTACAGGGATCTAATTTGTCATAAGATTTTAAATACAAATTTGTCAGAGTTTGGCAAATGTTATCAAATATTCCTTTTAGTTACAAAACAAAATGTTAAACTGAACAGATTGTTTCTAATGTCTAATGCATAGCTATCACAGAACATAAGTCATGTTAGCTGTATAGTCTATTGGAATTCTTAGCAAGCAGTGAAGTTGTCTGATTTGGTAGTTTTCATCTCTGTCTATATAGACCACTAATAGCTATAGGTACTACAGATAGCTGTATCTTGCTTTGATGATACATAAAGCATTATTAAATAGCAGGTTAAATCAGCTGATCAATATATATCTGCTTTATGCTTATAAGATACTATGTAGAGTTGTAAAAGAGATATACTACTAAAACAGAAACAAAAAATCTTCTATTAGAATACTTGCCGCTCAGATCACTCGCATTTGCTTAAGTTTATACAAACAACTCTGACACATCAGTGAATTAAGTGTAACAATTTCACAACTGGTCATTTCTCTCTGTAGTCTCAAAACAAAGACATAAGTTGACCTGTATCTGAGACAATTTGTAAAATACCCAAAAGGTCATTGAGACCTGTAGGAATCAAGAAAAACAGCGTTGAAAAAACAATTGATACATTAACTACAAAGAAACAGACCTATAATTACCATTAAATGGATACCTTGGAAGAACTGAAATGTTGTGATTCTGTTCTATTTCTTACCTTTTTCTTTTGCTTACTGTAATTTTTAGAGGCTGAAAAAGATGACTGTTAATATATATTTTTTAAAAAGCTCAATTCTGCTGAAAGAAGTCACAATGAAAATCTCTTGAATAACTTTTTTGTATAGAAACTACTCTATCTGGATATCTCTTTAAATATGAGGGATGTCTGAAACTTTGGGGAATACACAGAAAATGAGTTCTTAAGAAGCCAAGACTTTGATTTATTGCAGTCCTCTGACACTGGAATTGACTGCTGTGGAGATCTGATTTTAACCTCTCCAATTTCCTTGCAGTAGCACATGCTTTCAGGAAACTTGGAAGTGCAATCACATTCTCTAGTCTTCTATTAAATTTCCTTTTACATTTAAGATTGGAGTGACTTTACTTCCTTCATTTTCACCAAAGTCTTAGTTTTCTTCCGGTGTGTAGAATAGTGTGTAGGACACTGTTGATGACCTCTGTGCTACAGTCAGGTGACATAAATTAGGATTACAAGAGGTTTTATCCCTAGCACCTGGGCTGGGTCAGTATCCACTGATTTTGGTAGCTACTATTGTTCTTAGGATGATTATTTTTTAAAATTAAAAGCTAAAGGTTGAAATTCAGGGATGATAAAATGAAAGCAAAGAAAGCAAGGATCTGAAGTGAGATGAGTGACGACACTAAAGAAAATGACCTGATTATGGGACTCATCATTTGGGTTGACCTATAGACATTTTCACTTGGTCATAGCAAATTTTTTGAACTTTTAAAAGCCCTTCTGAAACATTATTTTATCACTTGAGTTTAATAACGTGAAAGGTAAAAGGGGGCAAAATTCACAGGACAAAAGGAAGCAAGTGATTGATTTCAGGCTGATAGAAGTAAATTTGTCCTATTGATATTTTATATTGATTTTTTAAATTTATAGTAGTCCCATGAGTTCAGGTATAATTTTAAACTGACAGCAAAGGTGAGAAATACAAAGTGAGTCAAAATAATACAACTATTGTTCTACTATGTTTATTGTTAGAGAATGTTGTTAGAGACTCAAGTTTTATTGCATTTTAACATCAGCTGTCTTCACATTATCCATATTCTCTTGAATTATATTTATGTTTGTTTATGCTTGACCTCTTTCTCTGTCAATGAGAGCCTGCCCTCTTAAATGTGTTTTTTAAATTAAGAGAAATGCATCAAGTATGTAGAGCTGTGACTATGACTGGGTTTCAAAGCACAGCAGATTTTTAGTTGAAATGATGTCGAGGCCTTTGAACAAGGACTCCAAGAAATCTCAGGATTCCAGCAGCTAGGAGTGATGAATAGAATCTTGATCAGCTAGGAAGCAATCAAGCAGAACACTTGGAATCCATTACATGTGCCATTAAAGGAGCTAAGTAATCAGGGCCAGTATCTCAGTTTGTAGATGCTGATTAAAAGTGGTTTGTACTTGGAATATTTCAAAAAGTGTTTTCATAATTTATGTAATCAGAAATAGTGTTACCAAGAATAGCA